GGGCTAACAGTGATTACTTTATTGGACCATTAACATTTTTATTAGGCTAATTAATTAGAATAATACATTCTTGGTTGTGTATTTTTTAGCCTCTGTAAGCTGTACTGACTGTCCTGGAGGACTGGCAGTTACAGTTCTGTACACCCACTGACACAGAGAGCCTTCAGAGAGCCCTGTGGAGTTTTGTGAACAGCCCCTTGTAGCCCCAAGCCTGCAGTAATGACACGAGATAACAACTGATTTTACCCAGACTGGAATTTCTGACACAGTGGGGTAGTTCTTGAAACTTGGGCACAGTGACTGTGTATCTGAGAGCACCTGGGTATATAGGTGGACAGAAATGTGTGATGAAAGAAAGTGGAAAGAGTGGTGTATCGCAGTGAAATGTGTGTGAACAAATCCAAGATCCCAGGAGGGCTGAGCTAAGGAAGAAACAAGGGATGTGTGTGTGGGGGGGTGTTCTACTTGGAGGAGGAGGACATAAATGCTAAGAGCTTGGACTGCTGTTGGGCTGCCCAGGTGGTGTTCCCCAGGAAGCTGGAAAGGAAGAGCTGACAGGAACTGGCTCTCACAATCTGTGAAAACGCCTTTCTCAAGAGTAATTAAAGCATAGATCTCAGAAGGTGTTTATAACGTTATTCTGATGCTGTGTGAGATGTGTCCTTGGGCATAATGCAATGGTGCCCATGGGTGTGCCAGACTGGGAGGCCTGTGGGGTGGTAGAGGTCTCTGTAGGGCAGACGGGGAGACACAACGTAACCCATGCTGCCTGCAAGTGCAGCTCCTGGGCCAGCCCGGCTTTATCACAAAGGGAACTGGTTTTGTTTCCCTGTTCACCGAGAGTGAACATGCACATTTGTGCGGTGCAAATGGTCTGGGACCAGCATCCAGGACCAAGAATTAGAGCTAAGTGATTTGGCAGCATAGATTTGCCCTGTGATTAAAATGCATTTGTAACATGAAATACCAGTGAGAGCTCATTAGAGGAAATTGAAAAATACCTATACAGGGCAGGCGTAAGAAACTGCTTTCTTACCGTGGGTACAAGTAATAAATGCATTGCAAGAAAACACAGCATACAGACAGGTAAGCAGTGATGACAGCAATTTCCTGCTGGAAAATGTAGCCTAGTCTATATTCTGTAAGTTATTCTGTTGTACTTATTAATTATTCTTCTTAACTGTCAAAAGATTGCCATGATGTCAAGCACAGACAAGGGACAAAAAAATGCTCATTTGTTAGGTGTGAAATCCCAGCTAAAGCAGTGAAGTACTACATTCCAGAAGTGGGTGTACTCAGCAGTGATTTTAAACATGTTAGCTCATCTTAAAGATGGTTTTGAATCAGAAACATGAATAATCACAGAATGGTTTGGGTTGGAAGGGATCTTAAAGATCATCCAGTTCCACCCCCGCTGCCGTGGGCAGGGACATCTTCCACTAGACCAGGTAGCTTAAAGCCTCATCCAACCTGACCTTGAACTACCAGGGATGGGGCAGCCACAGCTTCTCTGGGCAACCTCTCCCAGTGTCTCACCACCCTCACAGTAAAGAACTTTTTCCTAATATTCAATCTAAATCTATCCTATTTAAAACCATTTCCCCTTGTCCTATCACGGTGAGCCTATGTAAAAAGCTCCTCTTCAGCTTTCTTTTGGGGCCCCTGTAGGTACTGGGAGGCTGTTATGAGGTCTCGCCTGAGCCTTCTCCAGACTGAACAAGCCCAGCTCCTTCAGCCAGTCTCCATAGGAAAGGTGCTTCAGCCTTCTGATCACCTTGGTGGCCTCTGGACTAGCTCCAACAGGTCCACATCCCTCTTGTCTTGTGGGCCCCCAAGCTGAATGCAATACTGCAGGTGAATATAATTTCCGTAGAACACTATACCTGTCCATTAATATTGAACTCCCTATGTCCCAGCAATTCCCAGAAGTAATGATACTGCTTGCGTGGGGTAGTGGCTGGACAGTGAATCAGTGAAAACTAAATTTGCTTCTGTGCTTGGCAGTTTTGATCATGAGCTTTAGCTTCCCAGAGTCCTTGTTTGAATCAGTAAAATTAAGCTCTCTACAACGTGTCTAATAATATGCTCAAAAAATTACGTCACATTAATACTCTGAATGAAGTGGAAAAATAAGTTCTGGAGAGGGAACTAATTTGAAGGTAAGGTAGATGCCCAGCACTGTAAAAGGGCTGGTTTAGGGGTATGGGCAAGACTCAGCACCTGAACATTTTACGTTAAATCGGCCTTTCAGCCCTTGAGTCAAGCAAACTGAACATTAAGCCACTTACTAAAGCGTGCACTGGATAGTTCTATCTGCCTTACGTGAATAAGCCCAATAGCTTTACTCCCTGGTAAGAGCAGATACAAATGACCATACATATTTTCATGCATTTTGCATTTGACAGCTCCTCATAGCTGATAAATTATAGGCTGCTGATTAGCTAAAGTGCCTGCTCTTAAGTTGCTTTTGACTGTGAGCAAATTGTTCTTTCTATGCAGCAATGCCCCAGACATATTTTCCTGTATCCAAACATGTGGGTGTTTTGCAAAGGTTAATGGAAATTAAATTAAAGCTGAATAATACTGATTATAATGCAGGAGTGTGCAAGCAAGGCTAATTAATACAACTGGCAGCACAGCTCAGTCCTGACCTGTGACACCACTCTTTCTTTTCCCTCAACCCTGTTTGTTTCCTAAGTGGCACCCACAGCAATCTAAAACTGCTTGTTTCAAAGAGTCTATCAGGGACAGATTTACAGAAGCATCCCACTTTTCTCACTCTGGTCTTAAGATTATGTTAAATCATCCAGAAAGAAAAGCTATTACAGTCTCCCTTCTTCCTTCTTGCTTATGAGAATCCTAGTTCTACCATTAAGATCAGAGTATTTCCCCTGTTTTAGTGTTCAATGAGCTTTTCTATACAAGGAGCTGTTGCAAATAAATTTGAGGTTTATCTTATGAAAGTGGCATAAGTCAACAAATGTCTTTTCTGGTGAATCACCTCACGTTTTATCCTATATTAATGATCCAACTTTGCCATTAGTTTACTCATGAGCAGGAGAATGACTTTCAACTCTGGATAATATGCATAGGCTACCTAAAAAGTAAAATCTGAAAATCAGACCCAAGGACTTGACAACCCCAGGATGAAAACAGGACAGATCAAGAGGTCTTGCACCCCTGCATTTTAGACCACCACATCTTATTCTTTCCTGGTACCTATTCCACATTCTTCACTGATTAAATGTGGAAAGGAAGCACCAGGAAGGCAGTAGTTGAATGGGGAATGCTTGGCCTAAGGACAATGAAGGTTTAGTTTTGAAAAACTGCAATGTATTGAGTTCTTCAAAATATGAGGCCAAATTTGCCCTCCTGTGGAATGAAAATGTACTGTGGATGCACTGTGTATACAGTGTTGTGGATCATGTAACACCTCCTAAGCTTTACTTTGATAAATTCCACCTTGCACATATTCACCAGAGGTGAGAGAGGAACAGCGTTCATCAAATCCCAACTGCTTTGGTGGCTTGGCTTGCAACAGGTTTCCCCCATCCATCACTGCCTGCAGCAAAAAGGGCTCTGCTTGCAAGGCAGGCTGCCCTCTGAATTTGAAGGGTCCTGTTCACAAGGTCCTCATGAGGTCTTATATGCCTGACTGCTGGACTGTGGCTTCCTTGGCTTCCTCATGTTCCCAAATCCTTTTTTTTCTGGCACATCTGAACGCCGTTCCTTAGATACTATTCTTCCTTTTCCACAGGAAACAAGCCAGTTGCCATGTCAGCATCTTGGCCAGGAATCAAAGAGAGCAAGCTACTTGTCAGACAACACCGGAGGCACAGGCAAATTAGGATAGGGATGATATTTCAGCAAGAGTAACCCTTTCTGGCTCTAAGGAAAAGTTCAGTGTAATTCTGGGGGAAGGAAAGTATTTTTTTTCTGTGGCACAGGTTCAATAACACAGCGGCTACTTTCTCCACCCTGTGCTTCTCAGTTCAGGCAGGAGTATTTTATTAGCTGTGTATTTTAGTTGCCTCATGCATTTACAACACCTGGACTGAATAAACAGGGAGAATAAACCATGGCCTCTTTACTCCCAACCTTCTCTGATTCTCCTGCTGGATGTGAACCAGGCCTCTGGCTGCTAGTCCATTGCTGCTGGAATCCTGGAGACCGTGGATCTTCTCAGTAGGCAGTTAACAGCTTTGCTGCTAACATTTGCCATTTTCTGTGGCATTGTACTTGGCTGCCTTTCTTTCCATGTACTGGATCTTTTCGCTTTTTTAATCTCTGCACAGTTACTGACTAGAATTTGTCACCATTTCACCGACTTTTTTTGTTCAGTGTCACAGAAAACTAAACACCACACATCTTGCCTTCAGTGGGGCCCCGATCACAGCCCTAAGTAAAGTCTTATCTATATTGGTATGTCACTGGAGTACATATGGCAGAGCTGTTTGCACCTCTGTGTGTAGCAGTGAAGCCCTCAGGCAGGATTCTCTTTGTGCTGTCTCTTAGGGTACCTTTTAATCCTCCTCTCACATTTGTCTGCTTTGTAGCCCTTATTGCACCCCCTTTTCCTTTCTTTTTCTCCTTATTTTTTTTTTTTCCTGCTGATCTACTCCGTTCCCATGTCTTGTCTCAGAGAGCACTCTGTGTCTCTCAGCCTGTGTTCAGACACAGTAATCTCAGCATTGAATCTTCTGGGTGCAACTGGTAAAAAGTGACAAGAGAGGAAGAAGGACAAATAGGTATCATCACCACCCAAGAAGCCGGGCTTTCATTATATGGGCATGTCATGCCTGATAGGAGCATGTCATGCCTGATAGGAGCATGTCATCCCTTGTCCCACAGTCATTATATTTGGATGAGCACTGAGTAGCACGAGAGTAATACTGTGTATGAAATGCCTTTTTTATTCTCAGGTTACCTCAGAGTCTTAGCTCTTGAAGGGAAATCAACAACAAACACAGGGATGTAAAATGCATGGAGTAATAAACAGACACTTTAAAAATTGTCTTTATTTTCATTTTCAGGTTTGAGGTCGACCTTCAATAATTTGCAGATAAAATTAGAGTACAAAAATGCTCCTGTTAGTCGAGTTTGAATTTAGGTAGGTTATTAATTACTTCCAAAGAAAACTAAGCTTGCTTTTTCAAACACCATTTCTGTGCACAAGTTATTTAGCTCATTCTTTTCATAACATAGGTAAACCAGATTTCAGTTCAAACATTAAAACATTTTACACTTGGGTGTCAGAATTAAAATCACAAGTAAAAAGTTCTCAGAAAACCATGCCTGAACTGCAGAACAGAAATATGCACTAAAGACATTCCAATGTACACATGCAGAGACATGCGCCTGTGGATATGTATGTATATGAACATACCAGGAAGATCAAAAATACCTGTTTTCTGGTTTGTATGCAATCTCAGTCATTTGGCTAACAACAATGCATGTTTAACCCAATATTCATATATTGCTTACACAATAATTATACTTCCCTATATTTTCAGTATCATTGCTGTCACACAGTAAAATTGTGTGCCTTCCAGTTCATGTCCTGCAGAAATGGCAAAACGATGAAATACACTAAGGAAGTATAAGGGCAAAATGAAGGAAAACTAAAAGAGAAAATTGCACTGAGTCTTGGGAAGATAAATCTAACTAACATTGTCTATTGGTAACTGTAAATTCTCTTCTTTAGCTAATGTCCACTTTCTTTTGAGTGATTATATTTCTCACATAGTGGAAGAAAATGTATTTTGCATGTATATTCACATCAGAGGAAAATCCTATCTGTATGTTGGACTGGAATTATGGAAACATGATAAAATAAGTTTGTTTCTGATTAAAACTTGGACCCTTGTAAATGACAGAAGCTCACTGGGTGCTAGCAAATCACTCCACCAGAAAGCATGCTGTTTCAGTGTAGCTGTAGAAAACCTCATGTGCAACCAAGGGACATTAAACAAACTAAGTGGTATAATCTTTTGGGGAAAACTACATTTCAAAAATTCATATAAAAAGACAGAGATGTCTGCAAGTCAATTATCTAAAGGTCTGTGTCTCGTGGTTATTTCCTGTATTTAAGCTGCTTATGTTTAAAAGATGCTACTCAAAGAACAGACCTTGTAAATAAGACTTCACTCTTAGGAAGCCCACCTGCAGTGAAAATGTCCAGGTGATCCTTTGAGCTTGCTTCTTCCACTAAAACCAGTGCAGGGATCTATTTTTAGGACTTTAAATTGTCTTAAGCAGTATGGACTACGTCCTGTCACCCTTAATTATACAGTGGTATATTATCTTATAAAAAAATTAGCTGTTTCTACTAGTGTTTCACTCTAGCAGAAGGAAAGTAAAGACAACATGAATATAACCCTATCTATGTATAAAGGCAGGATCCACATCTCCACAACATGCTCTTAGTTTTGTTAAGGTCACTGGAAGGTTACACATCAAGAATTAAGAAGCCATCTAAGAGAAAATGTAATTTCTTTTCAGTTACCACCTAATGAATAAGAACAGCAATGTGTCACATGAGAAGAGTGCATAAAGTTGCTTTTCATTAGACATGGTTTGTACCAAAGCAGCTGGATCCAGCCTTTGAATGCCCTACAGCTAGGTTTCAGGATATAGACAGGTTTAGGGGATCTTGAAGTATCTCAGGAAAGTTATCATGAACAGAGAGAGAAGTCATAGAGGGCAGTCAGACTTCACCACTCCACAGTTGCCACCCTGTGGGGGAATGTGGTCAACATAAGCAAGGTCTGTAGCATTGCCCAGATAATTGTGTACCAAGGCCATCTCCTGCTAACCATCCTGTCTCATCTCTTTCTCTGGATACAAAACTCCTGTCTGCTGACTGCTGACATGCAGCTAGGGCTGTTTCACGTACCAATGTGCTATGCAGCATTGCAGGCTTGCTTCTGTTGTGTGACTCAAGACATTGGATGCATCTGGTCAGCACAACATTACAAAATTTCTTAGCTAATAAATAATCTCACCATCAGGACATCTTTGTTTTGGCATCCAGATGCCCTAAATGTGGTATCCACCCAAGGCAACTATCTGTGGAACAGCTTTTAACACAATGAACCTTCCCTTCTGCCTTCCTTCAAAATTCCTTCTGCTCTTTCATACACCAGCATCATCAACCACTTTCTGTAGCTTTCCTGTATCATAAAGGTTTACACTGCACTCTCTCTGCCAGTAAATCCTTTGAAACACAAACGGGTTACAAGTCTGGCACAGATCTGAAACAGTTCATCTTCTGTTATATGCAAATGATGCAGGATCCTGACCATGTGCTTTCAATTAGGTCAGTACATGGCCACCAACAATGGCTATCCATTTCTAAATTAATATTGCTGAGCTGCTACAGCCACTGTTTATTGTTAGAGGGAGTCAGGTCCCTTCCTGTCCTATAATGTTGCTAGCAAGTTGGCAGAAAGCCACAAGTTGGAAGGACGTGTGCAGACTGCCATGGTCTTACCCATAGAGCACTATTTTCAAACTCGTTTAGATCTTCAGTGGAAACTTACAGCACCAGATCTCCTACCAGGTAACACACTGACCTGCAGAAAGCTTACCCTAAATTTTTGCCCCTTTTTAAGACATCTAAATATAAATATTTCTCAGCCTATATCATTGTATGCAGCAATCTCACTCTGACTCTGGATTTCAATTTGCATTTTTGTTGGAATAATTAATAAACGATTCCCTACTGCATAGATACGTTGCACTCCAAGGAAAGTATTAAGTACTCACACACCTAGCAGCAAGTTATTGAAATGATCCTAATATGGAATAATTTATGATTCAGGCCCACATTTCTATTTATGCTTATTTACCTAGTGTGTAAAAAGGACTTTTTACAGCTCATACATGGATTTTCTTCCCAGTGTCACCTGTCTTTTATGAACAGCTTCTGAATAGTTACTTTAAATGGCCATCTAAGGATATTCGTATGTCTAATGGGGGAGGCAAATAAATTTAACTCTTATCTTCATAAACATACAAACTCACAGAGAACGTGTATTATTACTTCTATACTGAGAAGCAGTAAATTGAATTAATTCCTGGTCTTTGCTACACTGAACATTGATATTCCTTTTAGCTGTGTATTTATGATAAACATGAAGTACTATGATACAGGTAAGTGTCTGCATAGCAAATCCGCTATGTCTGATCAAGTAAAGTTAATTTTTGGAGCTGTCATTGCGATATGAATGATACTGGGTTTAAGACCTAAATCCTGCCAATACAGAAAATAAATTAAAACTAAGTAATGAAAGGATTAATATATAAAAAGGTTATTATATGACTTCAGTATATATAATCAATATATAGTTTAAAGGAGATTTAGTAGGAATGGCCTTTGTGTCAGTTTCTGGGTTTGAGTTTTATGATAGTGAGCAGTTTAAATTAATTTTATGACTAAAAATGCAGATTAATTTCTTCATTTCCTGGCTTAAATTGCAATGAAGTGTACCTCTCATCCTCCAGCCTCATCCTAATAGTAATGAAGAACAGGATGTACAAGGAAATAACACAAGACTTAGTAAAAACCAAATGACACAAATTTTGTCACATGTCTGCGCAGTGCCATTGCTTTAGGCAAATGACATCCAAATATCCTACAGTGTCTGCAGCTGGCTTCTACACGACATGCTTCTGAGGGTGCTCAGCAGCAGCAGCATCCTGCTGCATTCAACTTGGAACATCTGGAGATCTTCGTATCTTCAGTGACTGATGACATTTAAATTGCAGTGAAGCCCTGTTAGGTCCATCCTCACCTGTGCTTTTCCTTATTAATTGACACAATTCTTTGTTTTCCTTCTGTCGCTTTGTCTGATGTTTTTTGTAACATTAATGGCAACTTCTTTTGTGGCCATTTTCTGTGTGTCCCATTTACTCTGAAAGTTTTAAAGAGTACAGTGAGTTCCACTGACAGCACAAAGAGTCATTGATGATTACCTCCTAATTTATGAGAACAGTTCTACTTAATCAACAGAATGCCTCCAGCTTTCTTTACACAGTATTGTGATGCAGAGCAACTTTCTCATTCAGCATGGATGCAAGCTTTTATAACTGCTATAAAGGCTGCGGGTGTCAGTAAGCTTTGGATCAACCCTCTTGGCTACAATCATCATCTCTGCACATGTGTATTCTAAAAGCAAATAAATCTGGTTTTAGTCTAGAAGTGGAAATTAAAGGCTCCTTTTGATGTCATTGGGAGTTGAGTGTGCCTAGCCTTCTCTACTTTAAGTTTCTTAACTGAAAACATAGTTTCAGACTGCAAGACCCACTTAGAGTATATACCTTTCAGAGTTTCATCAGATCATTTCCAAATATTCAGAAATTGTCTGTCTTCTTGTTGCCATAAGCAACGCACTGTACTGGGCACTAAAGGGCATAGGTTTAGCAAAGGACGCTCAGAGCTAAGTTAGGTGGGTTTGATTATTGCAATTCCAGTGTTTCATATGGCAAGTTATAAGTGTAAAGAACGACAGGTAAATTAGGCATCATTTATATGGTAACAATACCAGGTGGAATAATGTCTGGTAAACTTCCACTGACATAAGTGGAAGGTACATGTTTATCTGAGAGCAAAACTTGGTGTTTATTTGCTGCTGTGCATTACTTTACATTTCTGCATCCTGAATACCCCTGCTCCTTTTCTGTCTGCTCCCCCAGTACTCCTGTCCACACAAGGACTCTCCAAAGACTACACAAGTCACGAAAATCGAATTAGGTTATTGTCAGTCAGTGACATAATCTGGATACCACCTTTGCTTTTGGGATGCCTGACCATTCTATTGCCTTCACTGGTGTTAGGAACCCTTCAGCAGCAGCATCATTTACTTCCAAGTCGTTTTGAAATTACCCTTACGAGAAGATACTAGTTTCCCAGATGCAGTCTGTGTCAAACCCTTTCTGTTTCCATACCACAGATTGTACCTTGTCAAATAGCTGATGCTAGGGGGAAGGCAATAGGACGCTTTAGAGCTTGATGCCTGAGAAAATGAGAAACAGAGAGGTAAAGCAATTTTCTCCCTACTACCCCACAGGCTGATGGCAGAAGCCAGGTCTCCTGAAAGCACCATGTGCTGCACTGCATTGTATTCTACAGCCTGAAGAGATAAAAGAAAACCTGTTGTCAGTGTGAATGTTCAGATGAATAAAATAGGCACATTTTGAGTTAGGAGGATAGTCACTCAACTCTAGGCACCCAGACTTTAGATGTCCAAATTGGAAACCTGCTCATCTTATGCTTCCCTGAAAAGTCAGTGGAAAAACAGCGATTCAGAATGGCAAACCAGAGCTGGAGCCTGACTTAGATACTACACTTTCAGTGTATGAAAATACTTTTTTTACTATAAGAACTTTAGACAGCTTAGCTTCCTTTCTTAGACATCTGCACTAGATGCATAGAATAATGCAAATGCCCTACTTATCAGAAATTTTCTTTTCGCTGGGTTTCAACAGTACAGATATGTTACTGAATCTATCTTAAGTAGAAAAGGGCAGGAGGATACATTCAAACCCACAGGTCTCCCAGTCAGGCACCTACACTTCATTGAAATGTCAGCAGGATCCATGTCACTGAGGAATATTTCTGTATTACAGCAGTGGAGAAAATAATAGAGTGAAGGTATAAAATAGACATTGTACCACTGTGCTATGTGTTAGCAAATGCAAGGTAAAGTTAAATCCAAATTCCCTTTTTCATTTACTCTGTCCCCTGCATCTAAATTTGCCTCTCTCAACGATGTAATTCCCAAGAGGAGACAGCTTCTTAATGGGGTGGATGTAGCAGTTCCACCACATGCCATGCTGGGAGGTATTCCCATCTGAGAAACCAAGGAAGCAGTAAACCAACTGTAGTTTTTGGATCACTTTAATCTGCAACAGCTCAGCAGCTGCTACACAAACAGGGCAGCAGCTGGAAACATGTGAGAGACAAGCAGGTAGGCAGCTAGGATAGAATTTTGGGCTTTGGTCTAGCCCAAAGCCTTGTGTGTTCATACATTAATGTTACACTGGATGATCCTTCTACAAGACATAGAACGTACAGGTGAGGGGGACAAGGGAGGAGGGTCTGATCCAAAGCCTGCTGAAGTTATGGTAAAGACTCCCACTGACTTTTTCAAGCCTCGCATCTAGCTCTAGGTGAACCAGGCAGGGTTCACGCAGTGCACATAATATAAGCAAAACAGCAATTAAGGAGAAACCCGTTCTCTTTCAGGTAATCTAAACAGTTTGCACAATAGATGCCACAGCTGGACTGAGCTGGAAATATATGTGTGGGGTTTTTTACTGTAACAGATGTGTGTATTACTTCAACTGCCAGATAAAACATCAAGTTTGTGGCCACTCGGTGATGAGGTGTTGTCAGAGGTGGTAGGCTCAATCATGCTCTGGTCATGGTGCAGTCATTTTTTCTTATCCCAAGGCATTAAATACAGTTTGACTGTAGCAAGGAAGACTGTAATGAAAATAAATTTGACCTGGTTGAAGCTACTGCTGAGTGTCAAAGAACATAATGATACTCTCACCTCTGCTGTCTTGAAGCCGTTCTGTCTCTGCGTTGTAGCTCCCATACCATGGACCATAGAGTTCACACACTGAGAACCACAATTGTTCTTCTTCTCGGTGTTCAGCGTTCCAGCTGTGGCTGATGCTGCAGTTACAGCTGTCTGTGCTGATTTCCCATCCTCCAGAAGACCTAGTAGGTACACAGGAAATTGTGCTATTAATACAGATGAACGATTTGTAACTGGCTCTGGATTTCCCCTGTTTCAGCACGTTTTTGTGATAGCACAAGTCATGGAATGTGTGATATGGTACTGCAGTGAGAACAGTTTACCTCCTTTGCTTAACTTTACCCTCACACTTTCCTTTATTTAGTTTTTCTCCTTTAGTCCACTGGCCTGTGAAACACTGGCTCAGAAAACATGCAAAACTGGTTAACGAGTGAAGCATATCAGCCTTTTGGTCACTTGCAGATCTCCATTGGCTTCTTCACACACATAGCTGCTGGCATGACCAGGGTTTAACTAAGGACGCAGAGAGGCTCCCCTTTAACCTGTTTCTATTCTGGGAAATTAAGAAGTTAGATGTGAGCATGACAGATGAGATTGATATGGATAGACATACATACTGCTCTGTTCAGGGCCTTGAACATTTATTTTCATTAGAACTTGAGGAAAGAAATTCAGAAATAATATATTTCATATAGTTTCAACTATCAGTAATCAAATAAATGAGTAATTCACTTTCTGCTCTAGCTATGTGGATAGGTCATGCATTGCACAATATGATATTGGCCAGACTAAAACAATTTTCTCATCTTATTGCATTAACAAAAATCAGTTGTCCTTTATGGTGGGTTCAGAGCACTAAACATCTGGTTGCAATGCTGGGTCTGATATTCAAATACGAAGAGCAAGCAGGATGCATGACTGTAGCTGTCTTTTTTTTTGTATTATTTATTTTGGCAAAGCTCACTTATAACAAGCTTTATGTTAAAATAGAAAAAAAGTCAGATTTACTAACTGGCAATGCAGGTATCAAAACAGGAAGAAAAAGCGAGGATTCACAGATACTAAGTGAAAAATAAGTGTGAGTAAAACCAAAGACAACTCATTGCTACTTGAAGTGTGCGTTGTGTCATCATAACCTTTTGCCATGAATCAGGTGGGAATTCAAATGCAGTACTAAGAGGATTAAGAAGGAAGGAAAGTCTTGAATTATTTCCCATAAATCTGTAAGAAAGGCTGCTTTATCAGTAAAAAGCAACATCAGTAGCAACTGGGAATGACTGAAATCAATAAAGCTTCAACCAAATATTCAAAGTCTTGATATTAAAATATCTAAAGTTGTGCAAGACTCTAAAGACAAACTAATCCCTGCATTTCCCTGAGCAGTCAGGAGATGGTGTTAGTTTCCAAAGGCAGTTTAACTTGTAGTGGTGGTGACTAATAATGCTAAATCATCTACTTTTCGATAGAAAAAAAATGAGTTGTAACTTCAAAATATTAAATTATAGTTTATTTAAAATAATATTTGTCTCTGGAAGCTGCCTTTTGTGCTAGATGTAAAAACTAATGCTGTTCTCCCATGTAAATCTACAGGCAACTTCCCTGTTGGCAAGAGTAAATCTCACCTCTCCTGCATCTCCCAAAAGTCACACCTACTTGTGTTTTGGCTCTTACCTCTTCCTAACACTCCACAGTGCCAGACGAGAGGCAGAAAAATGACTTGCTGCAGAACAGTAAATGGCACAGATTGATATCATAGACAAAATCAGTTGTTAGGAAAGGAGATGGAGAGACAGTTAGCCATGTGTGAGTCAGAGCTCTAAGCCGGGAGTCACACTGTAGTCTACAGCTTCACCTCGCACTGGAGTTGTGAAAACAAGCTTGAGCACAGCTTAGAACAGTCAAAATGATGTAGGCATTAAACAGGAATTCCATTAATTGAAACTTGGATATTTCAAACATATATGAATTACAAGTTTTTCCTTCTGTGGGCTCATCCTACAGAATTACTTTCCACCATGTGTCCCTTTGGCCATCTGGCCTCTAACTAAATTGGTGAAACAGCTGTGAGCTGAAAAGACACTTTGTTGTTAAGCACAGTTGTTCATTTATCAGATTACATTGCATCTTTTGGTCTCACACAGAACAATTTTTCTTACATCAATCCATTTCTGAAGGCTGATGGAAAATCTCAATCCTGAAAATGGTGTATCTGGTTCATTTTTTGTTCTCTGTTAGGCTGCAGCTCAGCATCCTTGTTGCATCCTACATTGCAAGGGTGAGACTTTTTTTTGCACCACTTGTCAGAAACAAATCAGGTATTGGTATCTGAGCATTCAACTATCATTCTACTATATTTTTGCATAGCTGATCTAGTGATCACCATTACTAGTGGAAAAAGCAGTGCTCCTGGTCTAATGGGCAGGTCCATGAGGATTGGAGGTTGCCCAATGTGACACCTCTCTACAAAAAGCAGAAGGATGACTCTGGGAACTACAAGCCACTCAGCCTGACCTTGGTGCCAGGAGAGGTCATGGAGTAGATGGTCCTAAGTAAGATCATAAAGCACATGTGAGAAAACACAGGCATCAGGACCAGTCAGCACGGGTTCATAAAGGGCAAGTCATCCTTGACCAACCTTGTCTCCATTCTACAATAAGGTGACCCGCCTGGTTGATGAGGGAAAGAAAGGCTGTGGACATTGTGTATTTGGACTTTAGTAATTCATTTGACACTGCCTCCCACAGCATTCTCCTGGAGAAATTGGCTGCTCATGGACCTGGACAGGTGGATTCACCACTGGGTTGGAAAGTGGCTGAATGGCAGAGCCCAAAGAGTGTTAGTAGATGGTATCACATCTAGTTGGCAACTGGTCACTAGTGGTGTCCCTCAGGGCTCATTGTTAGAGCTGATGTTGTTTAATGTCTTCACTGGTGATCTGGATGAGGGGATAGAATGCACCCTCAGTAAATTTGTGGATGACACCAAGCTCGGCAGGAATGTTGATCTGCTGGAGGATAGGGAAGCTCTGCAGACAGATCTGGACAGGCTGGATGGATGGGCTGTGGCCAATGGTGTGAGGTTCAACAACAAGGCGAAGTGCTGGGTCCTGCATTTGGGCCACAACAACCCCATGAATGCTCCAGGCTTGGGGAAGAGTGGTTGGTAAGCTACTCAGCAGAAAAGGGCCTGGGGGTGCTAACTGACAGAGCTCAACACGAGCCAGCTTGTGTCCAGGCAGCCAAGAAGGCCAATGGCATCCTGGCCTATATCAGCAGTAGTGTGGCCAGCAGGGTCAGGGCAGTGATCATCCCCTTGTACTCAGCACTGGTGAGGCTGCACCTTGAATCTTGTGTTCAGTTCTGGACCCTCATGACAAGAGAGACATTGAGGTGCTGAAGTGGGTCCAGAAAAGGGCAACAGAGCTGGTGAATGGTCTGGAGAACAAGTGTGATAAGGAATGGCTGAGGTTGGAGAAGAGAAGGCTCAAGTGGGACCTTACCTCTCTGTACAGCTACCTGAGAAGAGGTTGTAGTGAGGTGAGGGTTGGTCTCTGCTCCAATTAGCAAGTGACGGGACAAGAAGTGATGGCCTCAAGCTGTGCCAGGGGAGGTTTAGACCAGATACTGGGAAAAATTTCTTCACAGAGAGGGTAGGGTGCTCAGGCATTGGAATAGGCTGCCCAGGGCAGTGATGGAGTCACCGTCCCTGGAACTGTTCAAATAATGTGTAGATGAGGCCCTCAGTGACATGGTTTAGTGGTGGACTTGGCAGTTTTGGGGTAAAGGTTGGACTTGATGATCTTAAAGGTCTTTTCCAACCTGGCTGATTCTATGATTCTATGAAGAAGCTTTTTGATTTTATTCTGAAATGTTTGGTATTCTGAAGTTAACAATTAGTTAGAATTCTTTTTCATTGCCAAATAGATGATTTAGAGAGTGGACACCAGTTTAGACTTCAGTGATTTGCTCTTGATGTATGAACACTGAGCAGAAATTAAAGTGAGAATGCCTGAGCAGTGGAAGTAAGAGCACAAAATTTGTTGGCAATTCATAAACCGACACCTATTTTATAGACTATATATTTTGCAATTAGACAAAATGCTGATTGCAAAACAGAAATGATGCTAAAAAAAGATTCCGAACACATGGTTACTTTAAAGATAACAAATATATTTGCATTGCTCTGCAAACAGGTTCAGTAATGTTGTTTCCATTCTCATGTTCTCTGCCAGGACAACCCTGCCAAAAGTCTGTGGGCCTCTTGAGACCAGGGAAAACAGCAGATCCTATCACAATGCTCTGTCAAATACACATGCTTTACTTCCAAATGAACTGGCAAGCCTAAAATATTCCTATGACTCACTTCCCAAATCTGAGTTCCTGGGTGATTAGCAAACACCCACCAATGTAATGGTGACCTTTCCCTCAGGAATGGTTAGCCAGTGTTTGGGGAACTGCCAGGCTGTTCCCATTGTGGGGAGGAATGCATGACAAGAGGCAGGTATTTCATTGCTTGTAATCAGGTTTACGTATAAAGAACATTCATGAGTTCTCTCTCAGTGGACACAGAGAGAATACCCAAGCAGCAGCCCCATTACTCATAAAACCAAGCCTATCTTTCCAGAATGAAATATACCTAAAAGAATTTGTCCTCCCATGGCAGTGCTTACTGTTGCCTTCCTTTCTCTAGCTTGCTAGGCTGCACAGGAGAGCTAATTCTTACCTTTCTTACCAGGCCAATAGAAATCCCTTAGGCTGCAGTTTGACAAACACTTTTTTCATCATCATCAGGGAAGAAAAGGGTTATGTTAAATTGAAATTGATCCCTAGACTTTACTCATAACCCAAAGATGCAAGCAGTCAAACTGGCACAACCTGGGAGGTAGCTCAGGAATCAAAACAAGCCACAGAAAGCAGCTTAGGTTGATGTGCTATCCAATGAAGCAGAACAAAACCAAACCGCACTCATCTGGCTACCCTTGTCCTTCTCATTGAGTTGCCTTGTTGAGCTACCTAAATCCTTCAGAGGTATATTCACATTGCTCCCAACTACCCTTACGTCAGGAGACATACATTTGTTTTGTCCATTTAACCCAGATTCACCAGAGATTCCTATTGTGTTACAGCAAAAGCAGTGTCCCAGAGCTGCTGAGCCAGCCGATCCAAAGGAGATGACTGATACA